ATATCATGTTGTCATACTTAAATGTTTATTCGTATATAGTTACTAACCAAACATAGAGAATTTATGGAAACAGTAAGGAAACTTACGAGACGTTTTCATCATAGTAGACTGCTTTCGATTTCTGAGAGTCGATGAACTCTGTGTGCACGAATACAGGTTTCTTTTTAATTTATACCTTTTAAAGAAAAGTGTGTCGATTCGCGTTACACGCACTATAAATGGAAGCTACCCTTTTTACGGTTGCTCATGTACATTTAATAGAAAGTAAAAGTTTAAGAAATTTTTCTTTAACGACTGATCTTTTTCTCAATTGTGCCAAGCAAATAATTTTTAAACCATAACATTTCCGTTAAATTTATTAACAAAATTTTGTTTGCTGCAAATAATTTGCTGAATTTACAAATTATTTTGCTTATATAATAACAGATTGTTTTACGACAGTAAAATATATTATTTAATTGACAGTAAATTCATCTTCTTCTATAAATACATTCATTCAAGAATGATCAATAAAACTTGTAATATCAAATAACTGATTATGGCAGCAACGCTTAGGCTCGCACCTAGTTCAAGTGCAGCTACAATTTTACTGATAACTGATTTCTTTTCTTTCATGTAACTTTTCTTCTGTGGCGTTTTCTTATTTTCCTACGTCAATGGAACTGACACAGTTGGAAACTCTTCCCTGTTTTAAAAGAAAGTGAGAGATCACAGAAAGAGTGAGGAGAAGCGGACGCGGAAGGGGATATCTTTTACATGAGGAACTAACGGTCTGCTGAATTATTTAAGACGTACTTGTGCAGTCTGCGTGAAGCAGATTCCCTTGCGTACGTAACATCGGCGTGCACCCGTGAACACATTCGTCAGCTTCTGCGTACCAACGAGGATCAAATATAGCTGGGCTTTCTCTATTGTATAATATAACATTGTCACAAGTTCGTTATCTTGTATTGCGCACTAGTAGATACTATTGAACTGTCCTATAAATATCACATAGTCTTGTTAGATGGACGATAAAGAAATTAGTATTGCTGATGAGATGTGTTTAACATATTATAAATATTTCAAGTAGTGACGCAATGTTTCGTTACAAAAACAGACTGTGAAAAATTTAATATTCTATTTTTTTATACCTTTTTTTAACGTTATTCGTTAAAGAATTCAATATGTAAAACTCAAAGAAATTGTTCTTCTCATTTTTTTTAATTTTTTCATTCTTGGTTCAATCTTAATTAAACAAATTTTTTAATTTAAACGTACGAGATGTTACGCGTATCGCACATTTATTCATTCAACATTCTCTCAGCGTGTATCAAGTATATGTCTTGTGGTGTATGAATACAACGAAGGATTTGTTTACGGGAGATATCGCGTCTGTTGACCATTCAGAAAAATATCGCGCCAGCAAGTCGATACGACACGTCAGATCCCAACAGTCGATTCGCACTTTGCGTAGATAAAAATGAAGCATTCGTTTTATTTACCGGAATATATTACGAGCAAGTTTTATACGACGCGATTAAATGTGATAATGACTGCTACGACGCGAACTTTATTTGCATCTCTAATTTCTGCCTGGCATACGTATCAAAGCCTGACAAATAAATCGCTCTTGTAGAGTAAGCGAAATGAGATACTCTGGAATTAAACGGACGTAACTCGATACTATCTTTACGCCTCGTTGTCTTGAAAATCTTAAATCAACGTTTGTGTTGACGATAGTAAGTTCCTTGCCCACTGTTTACAATATTCAAATTTCAAATAAATATTAATATTAATGTTATAACTTTTATGAAATTTTGTTATAGCAAAAAGCACGAAATATAAGACTATTTCAAATTTATTTTTTTAGTAAATAAAACTACACTCTTCTTCCGTTTCCTCCTTCTAGCATTTAAATATTTAATACACCAAATTATCGCATCTTCGTATTTTTACGTACATTTCATTACGAAAACTGACTCCTGACAAGTCAGGAATCAAACGGACTTCAATTGGATAATTATTGATATTTCAGACAATGATTTTCTAATTATCATCAATCGAACAATCAGACATGGTACGATAAAAAAGAAATATATCTTATTTCCCATGTAAATGACACTCGACATTAGCAAAAAGCGATGAGGCAAGTCGTGTGTGAGCGTAAAAGCAGCGAAGAACTAACTATCGATTTATCGTCAGACGAGTGCTTCGAGCGCATGACGATAAAACGTTTGCGTCTCGGCAAAACCACCTACGGTCGCGGTACGCTGCAGTAGGTTCACCGTTACAACTCCCACCGTGCTCACAAAGCTGTCCAGTTTGCGTCGTTTTCTACACGCAATATTTTATATAACGGTCGTCAACAATCCGATACTCGAGATATTCTATGATTTCCAGTTAATTACGGCCACGAAACGGAAAAGCCCACTCGTCTCTCTGCATAACTCGGGAAATGTTCTATTTATAATTTCAGATATCCTTTCTTTTAGTTGGATAAATCTTTACGAGAAAATACTGGTAAAATCAGAATGTATACGTATATAAAATAAATATCAGAAAGATATATCTGTATGTATGTAAAAATATACGATATATATAAAATTAAAAGTAAAATTCTGAATTTTGAATTCTAACGCAAGTTAAGAACCGTCTAATGTTTTGGCTCAAAGCTATTTTCTTTTTTTAATCTTATAATAAAGTGTTTATCCCTTTATTTCATGAGAGAATTATATTTACACATGCAGGATTGTTTCTTGGTAATATTAATAGGATTGGACTATATACTAGAAAGCTGTATATTGTATTGAAACTTCAAACGGATTACTCTTGTCCTCTGCATTTTATGGCTTCTATTGTGAAGTTTTTGTAACTACATGCTACAAATATTTGCGTTTGTTATATTGACGCAGTTTCTGTCTCTGTATATCACTCAAGCATATTTACGCGACATTCTACTTGGAGATTGTAACAATCCTGATTTTATTGTCTTCCGTGTGCGATTATTTCATGTCCATTGACTCAGGCTTGACTTGGCTTTCATCCCGCGCGAGCCAGACTATTAGATATATTTCAACTTACAGGATGTTTTTAAAATGGTCATTATTTTCATTGTAGATTTTTTGGTCGATTTGGAGTCTTTTCTCAACGTAAACATTTTTAAGCGCCCACAATCTTCCAACAATTAAAGACAAAAACAGGAGACTTCCGAAGTAAACTTTAGAAACGAAAAGATTAATAACAACATCATATTCTTCAGCCAATTCGTATATATATTGATATAAGTAACGAAATAGAATTTTAATTCGAACAACTACATATAAATATGTATGATAGAATTGAAATGGTAAATGATGACTACAAAAGTAGTCGAAAAGAGGTTGCGGTTAAAAGGGACATCCGGTGGCTCTGCAATATCCTGTAGAATCAGTTGAATATAAGTTGCGGTAGGGGATATCTGGTACATATCTACTCGGAATACGAGGGTTCGAACAGGAAAAAGGGGTCGAAGGGTGGGAACAGACAAAGATAGTCAGATTTCTGTCAGCTTTTGTTACAGACTGCGCGGCGCCTCACGCGTTCTAAATCTACAATTAATTACCCGCGAATTATGCGATCCAAAATAAACTGGTCAACATGACTCATCTACTTTCCGGAATTAATGTCCATTGTATTGAATGCGTTTGACAAGAAATTGGGACGAAAATAAATGTTTAAATGTATGAAACGACATATAAAACCAAAATATTTTTTACATATATTAAAGTTGTTGAGTACGTGAATAAAGAAGAATAGACATAAAAAGTTATTATAAAGAAACATTAAAAGAAATTTGCGATTTAATGACGAAAACACTTATAAAGTTATATCAATTGTAATAATCATTTGAAATCTTTTTGTTCTGTGAAAACACAAAGTTGTTGTTAGGTATCAAACACATTTCTAGAAATTAATTATATGAATTGACTATTAAGATCTTTTCCTTTTAAGAGCAATTCTGTTATTGAAAAAGAATTTTGTATACGTTTCTGAAGCATGTATACCCAGTAAAAAATTTTCATGCATGAATATGTATAAATATGTATAAACATACATACACGCACATTTTATAAAAGAAAGAAGGATGTATGAACATGTATGGGCATATTTCATATATAATTGTACATGTTTATGAATATTTATGCGTATTTATGTATATATATTTGTACATATTTATACATATTCATGCATGAAAAATTTGTTATCGGGTATGTTCTTGGAAAATTTTTAGCTGATAATGAGATATCTTATGTGTACGTGGGATAATCTCTATTTTCCTCTTCTCTCTCGTAGCAGATTACACGTCGTTAATTCCTAGAAATACATTTGCGTGTAGAATTCTACACCTCCGTGTCCTTGCATTCCTATAAATGAACTAATTATGTCACATCGCAAAAATGTGCTAAGAATATCCAAAGAAGCCCGATAAATTTTGATTTGCTGCAAATCTCTTAAGCACTGCCGTTTACAACACAAAAATTCGACTACATAAAAAGGTTTCTAGAATTTGATTAAAATTTAATCTAATTTTCTTCCAAAAAATCATGAATTGTATAAAATCTATACAGATTCTAATTAAAAGTATAATATTTACAGGATCGTTTAAAAAATTTGAATTTTCTTTTACAAACACATATAATGAAAACGTAAAATTTTTCGACAAATGAGTTTTGAAATATAATACTTTATGTTTTATTCAAAATGAAAAAAGAATAAAATAGTCGGATTTAGGGAAAAAAAGAAAGTTGCACAAGAAAACTTTGAACGAGCCATTCCAATGTTTGCTTAGATATTTGTATGACTGTAATATTTACATTTATTTATTTAACAAGCGTATTTAAATTTATTTGATTTAATGAAAAAAAATATACGAATATGACAAATAAAAAAATGCGAATGTGGGGAACATGAAAGTTTTTTAAATTTTATTTGAACAATTTATCTTCAGATTTTAAGTATCATATTTCATTTTTTTTCAGAGTGATCCTAGTACTGCATTTTTACGGGCAGCTCGTGCTGGGCAACTCGAGAAAGTTTTGGAATACTTGGAATCTGGAGTAGATATTAACGCTTCTAACGCCGTAAGTAAATTGATCTGTAAATTGATCGCTTCCCGTGGATTTTGAAGTAGCGCACAACTGTGTATTATCTCGGTGTCTTGGGAAGAATCACTCCTTAACAAGAATGAATTTTATATATTGCAGAATGGCTTAAACGCTTTGCACCTGGCAGCTAAAGACGGCCACTTGGAAATCGTGAGAGAACTCCTAAATCGCGGCGCAATTGTGGACGCCGCTACCAAAAAGGGAAACACGGCATTGCACATAGCTTCTCTTGGTAAGCGTGTACACGCCTTCATTTTTCTGTCTCTTTTTCTTTCTCTCATCCTATCTTTACTCGTATGGATCTCGTCGCTTGTTAAATGCATACAGGACAAGGACGTGAATGATTTTAAATAAACATTTATCTCTCTTGAGACTTGCGATCTCGCATTGCAAAGTGCAAGATCGATTCCTGCGAAACGAATAATTCGCGTGACACCGATATTTTTTTTCAGCTGGACAAGAGGAGGTGGTACAAGTGCTAGTACAACGAGGTGCTTCTGTGAATGCACAATCGCAAAATGGGTTCACACCGCTGTACATGGCTGCCCAGGAAAATCATGACTCTGTGGTCAAGTACCTCCTCTGCAAGGGTGCGAATCAAACACTGGCCACCGAGGTTTGTGTGAAATGCTGCTCCATCGTTTATCAACAAGTTCTCGTTGTTATCAAACTTTTTAAATATATTTATTATTTTTACAAACCTCCATTTTATTTTTAATTAAATTATTATTTAATAATCTATTTCAATTATTAAATGTGCAAGTTTCTCTTCGTACAGGACGGTTTCACTCCATTGGCGGTGGCTATGCAACAGGGTCACGACAAGGTAGTGGCTGTTCTATTGGAAAATGATACTCGTGGTAAAGTTCGACTGCCTGCCCTACACATCGCTGCTAAGAAAGACGACTGCAAAGCGGCTGCCCTACTTTTACAAGTGAGTTATCGTAACGCTTTGTCAATCACGATTCATATTTTAGACGATAATAGTAATACATAGAAATTAATCTTTGTATAATCTCTTTAATTTTTCTCTCATTATAGAACGATCATAATCCCGATGTAACATCGAAAAGCGGTTTCACTCCGCTTCACATAGCCGCACATTATGGCAACGACCGAATCGCTTCCTTGCTTTATGACAAAGGCGCGGATGTTAACTTCGCTGCAAAGGTACGTAACTTTTACAGAGAAGAAGAAAGATTAAAATATTATCGAAATGCTCTAAATATACTCTCTTTTTATAATTTCAGCATAATATCACGCCAATGCACGTGGCTGCGAAATGGGGTAAGATTAAAATGGTTAATCTTCTCATGAGCAAGGGAGCAAACATCGAAGCGAAAACGAGAGATGGTTTAACTCCTCTGCACTGCGCGGCCAGGTCCGGTCACCACGAAGTAGTTGACATTCTCATCGAGAAGGGGGCACCCATTGGCTCAAAAACAAAGGTACGAACTAAATCCGCATGCGTTTCACCGGCAAAACGTTTCCCTCTTGCCGAGATTAATTATCACTTGGTTTTTGTTGACAGAATGGTCTTGCCCCGTTACACATGGCTTCTCAAGGGGATCACGTTGACGCTGCGAGAATTTTATTGTATCACCGTGCACCCGTGGACGAAGTGACGGTGGATTATTTGACTGCGTTGCATGTGGCTGCACACTGCGGTCACGTACGCGTAGCTAAACTACTTCTTGATAGAAATGCCGATCCTAATGCGCGAGCGCTCAACGGATTTACCCCTCTTCATATCGCATGCAAGAAGAATCGTATAAAAGTCGTCGAACTCCTCCTGAAGCACAAAGCGAGCATCGAAGCTACGACTGAGGTATAACATTTTCAAACTCTTCTCCTCATATTTCTTTTAGCTTCACTTATTACATTACATACTTATTCCCAATGTTTATGAGACTGTATGATTGCAAATATATGAAAATGAAAATATAATGTCACATATATATTTTTTTACAGTCTGGATTAACTCCACTGCACGTAGCGAGTTTTATGGGATGTATGAATATCGTGATTTACTTATTACAACACGAAGCTAGCCCTGATATACCGACAGTAAGAGGCGAAACGCCATTACACTTAGCCGCCAGGGCGAATCAAACTGATATTATTAGGATACTTCTTAGAAACGGCGCCCAAGTCGATGCTAGAGCAAGAGTAAATACCATGTTTGATTAATAATAATTAATATGAGTAGCTTTTAGTTGCTAAAGATGAATTTGTTATACGATAAAGCAGATATAAAAAAATGCGAATTATTCGTAGGAGGAACAGACACCGCTTCACGTCGCTTCCCGTCTGGGTAACGTCGATATTGTGATGTTACTGCTGCAGCATGGTGCGGGCGTAGATGCTACAACGAAGGATTTGTATACACCGCTTCATATCGCTGCTAAAGAAGGCCAGGAGGAGGTAAGATTATAAAATGTTACACACACACACATATATATATATATACACACACACACATAAGAGATAGATTTATTTTATAACGTGTTTCTATGATTACACAGGTTGCATCCGTTTTATTAGAAAATAACGCCTCGCTTACCGCAACGACCAAGAAAGGATTTACTCCCTTGCATTTAGCGGCCAAGTACGGCAATATGAACGTAGCTCGATTGTTGCTGCAAAAGAATGCGCCTGTTGACGCTCAAGGAAAGGTAAGCACTTTTTAAATTTAACATTTCAAATTAATTGTCAAGAAAAGTTAATTTGCACGCATTATGCCACATTATTTTATATGTCGATCTGTGCAGAACGGAGTAACGCCTCTTCATGTAGCCTCTCATTACGATCATCAAAACGTGGCTTTACTTTTACTCGATAAAGGAGCTTCACCACATGCCATGGCTAAGAATGGCCATACACCATTGCATATCGCTGCACGCAAAAATCAGGTACGATCATACAATGGTAATTATTAAGAATGATAGCAAATAAAATTATTTTTGCTTTCAATAGATGGATATTGCGACTACTTTGCTGGAATACGGAGCGAAAGCTAATGCAGAATCAAAAGCGGGTTTTACACCGTTACATTTGAGCGCACAAGAAGGCCATACTGATATGTCAACCCTTCTTATCGAGCATAAAGCAGACACAAATCACAAAGCGAAGGTAGATAAAAAACGATGTAATTTTCAATTAACTTTTATTTATAAAATCTTACGTTATATTTATTTTTACACTTTACAGAATGGCCTTACGCCTCTACATTTATGCGCACAAGAAGATAAAGTGAACGTCGCATCCATTCTTGTCAAGAATGGTGCTCAGATTGACGCTAAAACTAAGGTAATATAATTAATAAGCTTTCTTGTATTATTCACGTAAACTTGTCAAAGTAACTCACGTAATCAAAAATAAATATTCGTTCTGATCATGATAATATCAATGTGACTACGATTGTGTTTTTAGTTACACTATGTTAGCACTTTATGCATAATTAAATTATCGTAGATGACATAATCTTCACAAGTGATTGTTCATTGCTCTATATTGTCCATTGATAACTTCGAAATAACACCTATCTCCATAACACTGTGTAGTAGCGTGACTGCTATTGGTCTTAAAGCATCTCATTACAAATAAGATTTATTGGATTAAATAGTAAAATAGTGAAATTGTATGAAATTAAACCTTATTTATTTAACAGACATTACGTCCAATAATACATAAAGAGGTCTTATGTTTTGTCGTATTTTCTCTAGGCTGGATATACGCCATTGCACGTGGCGTCTCACTTTGGTCAAGCAGCTATGGTACGATTTCTCTTAAGATCTGGTGCTGCTGTTGACAGCAGTACCAATGCTGGTTATACTCCTCTTCATCAAGCTGCGCAACAAGGACATACGCTTGTTATTAACTTGTTGTTGGAGAGTAAAGCTAAACCGAATGCCGTAACCAACGTAAGTTTTATTCTATGTTTTATACATTAAAATTCATTGAAAATTATCAGAATACAATATAATCATACTCAATGTAAATATTATTTTTTTACAGAACGGACAGACTGCTTTAGATATCGCACAAAAGCTCGGTTATATAAGTGTCATTGAAACGTTGAAAGTTGTCACAGAGACTATCATCACAACAACTCATACCGTTACTATTGAAGAGAAATACAGAGTTCAGGCACCCGAATCCATGCAGGAGACATTTATGAGTGACAGCGAAGACGAGGGCGGTAAGTATTCGTATTTAATCACTAATATCTTTTTTTGGTGCTTATTATCTCTATTTGCTGCATAATTTAAAAGTTTGCGATATTGGAACGAAACAAACTATTATAAAAAATTTAACAAGCAAGTGTATGCATAAGATATTGATAATATTGCAATTGTTTCAAAAATAGCTTGTTTCTAATATCGCAATAAATTTTACAAAAATTCTGACAGCTTATTGCTTAGCATAATTATTTTGCCTTGCATATTCGGATTTTAGCATCGACATATAATAGAGCTGATACATGTGAGAGAAAGTAAAATTGATAGCACAATAATGCTTTTGCTTATAAGCTGATAATAGAAACGATAGTACCTAATAAACTTTTTTAGTCCTTAAGGCGAAATTATATATCTTTCTAAATATATCTATATCTGTGCAAGCAGTACATTATCGTAATATATTATCGCGTATATAGATAAAATAAGATGTATAGGTTTTAAAACTACAAAGATGAAGCTTTTTGGTAGATACAGTATTTGCACGCCAAGATTAAATTTTTATGAATCCACTCCATTGCATGGAGGAGAATTACGGAAACTTAATATTAAAGTGTTACGAAAAATAAAAAAATGTAAGAGTATTTACATGTCTATTGACAGGTAAATATTCAATCAATTCGAAGTAATGTGAAGATTAGATAGAAGTAATGAGAATTAGCAACAGTTCTGAGAACAAAACAATCGCATGTCCGCGTGCATGACACAAAAACACCATTAGCATATGAAACTGAAGTTGGCTACCCAATAGAAACTGATATCCTTTCCCGATCCACACGACCACAACGGTATAAATACAAGATAGTCGAGATAAATAGAATTCCAAATTTCAAGAAGAGAAAATTAGCTCTATCTGTCAAAGATTCAGTTTCTTAATTATCTATCAAAGTTATCAAATGGATATCAAAATGTTAAATGGAATCATTTGCTTCATTGTTGCGTTTATGTTATTTTGCAAAAGCATGCACTTAGCCAATATTCACTGGGTTGTTATACATTATATATTTTTATTGAAATTAAAGAGTAAATGATCCTAAAACTCTGATATGCACATTTAAGAATAAAATATGAATCAAGTCTTTTCAACAAGAATAGGATTGTCTAATTATTGTTGACTATTTAATCAACTTGATATATATTAAAGATCATATATTAAATCATATATTAAATTAAAGGATCGTCTATTTATCTAATAATGTATATATTGATACAGAGCTTGTAGATGTGTGTAAAAACTTTCTTTAAAATTAAAAATTTAATTATTGTTTTAATTATTTCCGACATTAGGGACATTTAAATATCCTCATCTCATCTTGAAATTATATGTATGTATTTGTGTGCCTAACAAAAAATAAAGGATGTAGTTCTGTTGATTCGTAACTTAGCGATTCTCTGTCTGCTTATTGAACAAGCCAGAATCCACGTCACGCGTACATCTCATTCTTGACTCCTGCGTAGCTTCGGTGTTAGTTTTTTTTTTTTTAACAACCCAGTGATAGAGAGCGAAACTTAGAAAAAAGAACAAACAAACAGTGTATATGGTGCAAAATTAGCGTTTTGATGAAACCATGACCTTACCTCGACGGCGTGTACGATGTATGTAGGTGGTGATGAAATCGGCACGGCAGCCATGAATGTGTACGGGCAGCCTCCGCACGCGCAACACGTGTACCTTCCTTCTTACTACCAGGGCCAAATGACCTATACCCGTAAGTTGTCTGTACTCTGTTTCTGTTACACTCTCTCTGTCTTCACGCGTTCCAACACGGAACGTCACCGCGGAAAATATTACGTAGATAATACATGATATGTACACGCTAGCACTGTCGCAGAACGACGTAATCGTCTGGAAATATGTCATTGTTAATTGTCGTTCTTTTGCCGATGCGACATCCCGCATAGAAATTTCTCTAAATCTTCTCCGATACAGATTCCGATCAGAATGCCTATACGTCAATTTAATCTAAAAAGATGCACCGGTACTTATTGCAATAAATATTAATTAGAGAATTTATATTGATTCATTTTTATCTTAAATATAAGTTTTTTATCTAGAATTGTAACAGAAATTAGCTCTTTTTTCACGGGGAAAATCGAACTTTTACATCATTATTTTTATACAAAGTTAATTTCAATAAAATTAATTTCAGTAAAATTGAAAATGAAAGTTACATTAATATATTGACTGTAATTATATTTAATTATTTATCATTAGTACTTCAAGTAGTATTTGTTATAAAAAAATATTAATTGAAATAAAAATTATGATCCACTTTAAATAAGCAGGAGTAATAGTTTTAAATCATTTTTATTAATATAATAAAGATAAAACGATGTTTTTCTTAAATTTTTTTAAGATAATAATAACATTACATTTTTGTTTAACAATCTTAAAAAAAAAAGCTTTAAAAAAACATTAGAGAAAAGGAGCGAGCGAGATCTTTTTTCAAGCTGTCTCTTTTTTTATTTAATTTAAGATCGCGTTTGCAAAATATTGCGCTTCTGATCTGAATCTCCATAAATTTTCCAAACGATGTTATGGACGGAGTCCATAATTCTTTCGATATCAGATCGGACCCCAATTAGATCGTAGAACGTTTTCTATGTGGGAGCAGCTGCTTCGTTATTTTTGACGATTAGAGCATCGTGACGTAGCGGCATACGACTATCGTAGTATCGATCATCGTCGTCATCGTTATTATTTCGCCGGTGTAGCGTTCGTATCTCGGATCACGTTCCACTCTTTCACGAGTACATTTCGAGCTAATCGAACTTTCATACATCAGATCTGCATACAGAGACACGCACAGACACAACTATTCCTCGCCCGCTATTTTTGTCACACATTTATTATTTTCGCATTCATCTTCCTATCATCCTCTCTTTTTCTCCTTTGAATCTTTTATTTTTAATAGCAGCAGTCCGATAATATACGAAATTACACTGTGCGAATTATATTCTAAATATCAAGTTACATATCGTGATTTTTAATTATAGATATTAAGAGAAGACATCGTTTAATAAAATTACAATTTACTATTAGGTGTTGGAATTAATTCGTAGCGTTTTCTTTTAAAACGCTACGAATTAATTCCAACACCTAATATTTTATTATTGAAAATTCTCTGTAAGAGAAAAGTGTTGTTGATAACATAATTATATTGTACTATTTTGATATAAAATCTGAGAAACTTGATATATACGTGATTCAGACAATTGTAACGGTATTGTTGTAATACCTTAAGGATTTATAACACATTTAATGCAGTATTGTATTTTATTATATTTTCTTAAAGGGGAACGTTTAAAGGCGGATAATCTTAAATTTCTGACATATTCAGAGTATCTGTGATATAGTCCTGATATTGTTACATAATTTTTCCATGGAATAGTACTTCACGATCGCATAAACTTCGGCACGTGTGGTTTCAATTGTGTTACGTTCCCGGTGCAATCAATGCAATCTTATAACTATTATATAAAAAGCAATATACGATCACCAATGTGATCGTTATCATTATCCCGCGTATAATAAATGGACGGCGTTCTTTCGTTACGCAGCTTCAACAAACAACATAGGAACTGCTTTTGCTCTTATTTATTCGAACAAATATCTCAAAGAATGCGAGTTAAACGACACGAGTATCGGAACGTTCACTGCCATAAATTAAAAATTATAGAGAATATCTTTAGAAAATCTGAATAATAAAAAATGCGAATTTTTGACAATATTTATAACAGAGATACAAGGCTCAAAAGAGCTTCTTAGCAAAATTAAAAAATAGGTTTCTCTGTGTATAAATTATACAAAATCAACTAAAATACATGATCTTTTGGATAAATCGAATCGAATTTTAAATTTCAGAAAATTTTTTATGCAGATACTTAATACGAACTACGTTTTTATTGTTTTTGCATATTTTGTTCACATGAAATTTAGGTTCAATTAATTTATGCTAATCTAGTGAGATCTCCGGACTTATTCCCGGATTTTTCTAGCTTTCCGAGCGAGTATGCACTTGTGTCAAAAGTGAACCCACCAAATCGCTCGCAAATTACGCCGGAAGTAGAGAGGCACATGAATTTAACTCTGCAGGGGAGGGATCTGGTTGTGAGATGCGACTTTACGTACATTATAAAAGCAACGAAGAACAGGGCGTGCGGCTATCGTTAATGTAATTTACATAATAACGAGCTACGCTTCGACGTCGTCCTCGTCTTCGTCGTCGTCACCATCATTGTACCTACCACACGATACCGCCCTCCACTTCAGCTACCTGTTATGCAACGGCGTTATGCCGACGTGTGTAACACAGCCGCGTTATTAGTGCAGTCAGTCCAACCCCTGCCGCTTGGCATGTAGCCAAACGCACGAATCCCGGACTGAAATAATCTCGTATTTATATAACGTTACACGCGCGGCGGCTGTCGATTAAGAGAAGAAACAGAGAATAAATAAAGTGTGTGAATTGTAACGCACTCGCGCACGCGTCGACGCCCACGCTTGTATTTACCGCGTGAACAATATCGCATCTATCGAGCGATTTGAAATTTTTTCGGGGGTCGATCGTAATCGACTGAAAATAACATATCGGCGAACTTGGGAACGACCGCCGAAAGAAACGACTCTTCGTTCTATCGAAGAAATGGATTGTTTCGCCCGCTAAACGCTCGAATTAGCTGCATCATCACTTGTGATTATCATGATTAAATTCAACTGATTAATTTGTTGTATCGCAAACGAAAAAGGAAAACGTCCTGCTAAATAAGTAGTAATTCTATCGATCCCGTCTTATCTCGCACTGAGCGAGAGCTTTCAAATTTCATTTGCACGGTGAACTTTGACCTACGTAACGTCGACGTGATACGTTACAAATTGGCTTTATCTACTAATTGGCGCCACTACGATTTGATCACATAAATCGCTAGTGAAATAAATTGTTCCCCTCGCGTGTTCTCGTCGATTCTTCTCAACGGCAAAGAAAGGCGCCGCGATGTCGATGGCTACTCCGGTGCGGTAAATAAAGTGGCGGGAAAAGCTCAAAGGCAGCTACTATTATAAAATTAGTGATTCACAGAATGAGGTCACGTTCCTAGCGAGTTGCCGGTCGAACCTATATCAATCTTCCTTGAACAGTCGCTGTTCCTGACCCCCGTCGACGCCACCGCCGCGAGCACGCGCGTGAAAATAAAGGAAGTATTCAACGGCCGTGCTTAACGTAATTAAACGAATTGGATCTAATCGAGTGGATGCTTAGCCGCCGGCCGTGTGCCAGTGCGCGATATTCAAAGTGAGGCCACGGCCTACGGAGCTGATAAGCCATACGGCCGATCAGCCGTCGTGCGATAAGGAGCGAAACAGCGAGTCGAAAATTTTCGCGTCGATCGATTTTCTGGAAAAAAAAAATGAAAGAAAAAGGACAAATATCGATAATGCGACGATAAACACGTTGCCGGTTATCACCTTACAATTCGTCGGTGCGCGGTACAAACCTTGTTGTAAAAAATTAAAAATATATCGGGTCGCTGCATTTCTATTCATTCCATGCCACCTGCATATCGAGTGCTGCACGCATTGCATGCGAAGTTCTGGACGGTCTATCGAATAGCTCGTCGCGATAGTGCATCAGTGGGCTAACGACGCTCGAGAGGATACGGAACGTTTCCTCCAGGCTAGGGAGAGTCGTCGAAACGAATCTTCTGCAAGAGAGGAAAAGAAAGAGAAAGCGAAGAGAAACGCATCAGCAAACATGGCCAAGGGAAGAGCGAAAAAAAAGGGATTCACGTGCGGCTGTTCGTGCGGGTGTGGCAGCAGGAATAGTTACACCGTCGCTTATGCCACTGCAGCCGTTCTGTTCGCAATATTCGAACGCGATCCTCCTGATCCAATCGCTCGCGCAAGCGGAAATCGCGAAACAAACGCGAATTTTTCCCTTCTTTGATCGCTTAAGAGAAAACGCCGCTATTTTTATATAAAAAATTAAACAGATCGTAATGTAAAATCTTGTAATAATAATACTTGGATATTTATTACTGATAATCAATTAAAAGGGCTTTAAAAACATCGAGAATGACAAGTGGAATTTATTCGGATTTCCTTAGGATTATATGTTACGCTTCGTGTGATCTGATCCTTTATAAATTTTTCCAATCTAAATCTAGGAATTTTTTGTAACTAATTGAACTAATTACTGCGTCTCAGAAATCTTCCGACAATATTACATGTATTTGCTATTTAAAAAAATGAAAAATTTTTAACTTTCTTTCCTTTGATCAATTTCAGATAAAGTTTGTAAAAGTAAAGTTATGTTAGCAAATGTAATTTCATATAAAGTATAAACGAACTTGGATACAATAGATAGCGACCTATATATCGACAGATTTTGAAGCTCACTAAGATTTTAAGCTCACTTACGCAGCTTCGAATAAAGTTGCAGCTTCAAATTAGCAATTTATTGTTAGCTGCGTAGTCATTACGTAAATTGCAAATTGATGTAATCGCGATGCGCAAAAGTGATGTAAACAATTCTTTCTACACAATATAATGGCTTAAGTTTTCTCCGATAATCAATGCTTACAAAACGATAACGTGTATCGCGCCACGCGACTCTGTTTTCATAACGTTAAGTAACGTACTTAACGTTAATGAACGTTAAATGCTCACTTCCCACGAGTCTTTGTTCATACTACATAACACATTCTTTTAATT